GGTGCACCTTCAGCCAAGTACAGTACTGCAGGGTGCAAAAGTGACCACCCGTTTAGAGGTGCAGGTGCACCTTCAGCCAAGTACAGTACTGCAGGGTGCAAAAGTGACCACCCGTGTAGAGGTGCATGCGCACCTTCAGTCAAGTACAGTACTGCAGTGTGCAAAAGTGGCCACCCGTTTAGAGGTGCAAGTGCACCTTCAGCCAAGTACAGTACTGCAGGGTGCAAAAGTGACCACCCGTGTAGAGGTGCAGGTGCACCTACTTGTATACCATAAGCATGGCGGCCTTTGTAATGCAGTAGAGTGACCACCCGTGGAAGCCCCCGTGAGCGGCTCCGGTTGACACATGCAACACCCTGGATAGCACACAAAAGAAAGGAATGCAGCGATCAGTGTGTGAACAACGGCAGCAGGCTTGGTATGGGTACAATATGAGGTTGAAGTACAACACTACAAAGGAGTGACTGGGACGAAAGCTAGACACAAGGGAAACTACAGACGAACACTCGCGTTCAATGTAAGTTATCAAATTCACCGGAGGATCGTTGTTTTACGCGAACATAAGCGAAGAGAAACTCGCGGCCACATATATGCTTATCACATACGATTATATACATAATGGAAAGTATCACATGGCACACTTTCCATATATGTATAGAATCGCCCAACATCCAACCTGTACCTTGCACCAGGGACCATCTCCTTCAGCAACGCCTGGGTCAAAAAGAAAGGCGCCTCCGCATTCACAGCCATAGACTCTCTGAACTCATTTAACTTGATCTTCTCTGCACTGTCCACCGTCCCAAGAACCCCTGCAGACGATTGGTAAAATAACATTACTGGTTCTGCTATACTCCTATAATATACAATGGTCAGATCCCCCCCCCCCCCCGCCACCCACCTATGTGTATGGATGCCAACCAGATTTGCAACAATCCGTAACTAGAACTTGTCGCAATAGGTAGCCTTAATGCTTTAGCTTTAGATAGTCTTAACGCTGTGCTTGCCTTCTCTCCTTTGATGAATAGCGAAGTGTGCACACACGTCTACGTCCCAACCCCAAGCCAATCGACACTACACGCATACGATATATCACTGCAATTGTTGCAACGAGCATGATTGAACGAATCATGCTAGTCAATCGGTTATAGTCGACTATAAAAGCGAGAGAGAGAGGGGAGGGGATTTGAGGTAGAAATAGATGTACATACTACGTGTAACTGATTTCCAATGGAATACTAAATAGTCCCGGGCATCACTTGTAAAGTTATTATGGTTATGGTAAGACAAGACCTGCAATCGCCCCCACACGACACTTGCTTGTGTCACTCGACTGGCAACGAAAGCATATACACCACGAGCACCACAACCACCAAATGCCACGGCACAACTCATGCATACTCCACTGGTCACGATGACTCATGCATTCTTCACTGGTCACGATAGCGCCTGAAGAAGCGATTGCAAACTGTACAGCCTATCATGAATATGTTAATAGACATTTTGACTACGTTTCAGCAGTGGTGGTTTGAAATATATATACCACTGAGGGTAAATACAAACGTAGTGCCCTGCTGTTAAGCACACGTACGAACCATGTCAGAACATGCGCGTTCTTGATTGAAATACAGATGTGATAGAACGAAGCAATTGCGCATATTCTGGATAGGTAGGCTGGCTTAAATGGTTGAGTTGTGATCACGTGCTTACTGAAAGACATGCATGGATACATGCATATCAACATCGGTATGAGGTTTGAGTACAAAGCCACAAATAAAGGCCTCCCGGATTGTACTCATCCAAAGGAGGCGACTCATCTTACAGACACATATTCGATTGAGGCAATTGGATAGATAGCAGAGAAAGGGTCTGCAACGCCAAAGTGTACTTTATAAACAGTGACACACTGTCAATAATCATACAACGGTACAGCCACCAAGATACTTCAGCTAACACTGACGAAACATATCGTGACGACTACATACATTACTATATCGATATGGAGAATCAGTTTCCCCACTGTATGCCACTCCAATGCTAGCTTAATATGAATCATGATTGTCTTCAAGTATACGTAGATTCTTGCCATTACACACTTGGAACACTACATCATTATTTCAATGCTATGTTGTAAACTAAAAACTGGTATGGGATGCAGGATCCCAATTCAATTGCTTGCAGTCCATTGCAATCACCGAGTCCAAGGTATAGCTGTCAGAATGTCACAATAGCAACTCAACTACAGCCAGACTACATCCAGATACACAATCATTTGTCCCCACAGACCGCCTCGTTCGAACAAACCTCTACATACCCGCATTGTGAATCAGGTACTGTAGTTTCCCAGCGCACTGCTCGTGCATAAACTCAGCTATCTGATGTCGTCCCTCGTCCGTCGCACAGTTCTCCGCACACACAACTATGTTCTCAGGCTTTCTCGCTTTGCTGCGCATGTCCAACAAGGACCGCTTGCTTCTGCCAGTGGCAATGACAGTCATTCCCAGGGCAGAGAAGTGATGACACAGAGCCGCCCCTATTCCTCGGCTGCCACCAGTTACCAGCATGTATGCGTTCAAGTATGCGTTCGACATTTTGGTTTCTTCGTTCTGAATGTGGTCTGCTGTCTGCACGACCCTCGAGACTACTAGAATAAGGATGAATACGTTTTTTTGTAGCAGTTATTATACAACGGTGGGGAAGTGACCACTGTAACTCCTGTCCGTGAGTGGCTTCTGTGGCCTATGTGCAACTTTTAATTATTTTATTCACAATATTTGAAACATATATTTATTTACATAAATACATAGGTCATCAGTGCGAATGGCACAACAGTGCATTCACAATGCTCCAGTTTTTTAATCCCATATCGAGTATTAGTATATTTTGGCGGCATCGATGGTGGTGAGATGTGATACCGTCTTTTTATCGGATAAGCTTCACTAAGTATGTACACACGTTTAATTTTATTTACGCTGTTTGAGTGTGCGAAACGACAATAATGCTGACGTCTACTTGGTAGCGAGTCTCTAGTAGTGTGAAGTAACTGAGTGTCTCTCTCCCAAAAGGGAAAGTCAGGATTAGAAGGCCTATCCAGAGGTCAGTTCAGCATACAAGTCGCGCATTTTCACAGCCAGGTACTGGGTTGGCCGGTGTACCTGACCACGAGTAAATCGTCCCAGGTAATAATTGAATAGTGGTAGTCCGGGTTCATAGTCAACTCATTATTCAAACTGTCGATACTCTCTAATGAGTATAAACGTTGTGCCAAATAGGATATCACAGGAAGTTGGAACCGTGTAAATAGCAGTGACTAAATCAAACTATTTGGGGCAGATACAATGCCCAAAGCCCCAAACAGCATTCTCTATCAACCTCTTGGAAAAATCCACGACTATAATGCTAGTAAACCAAAGTAGAAAAGCAGCAAAAGGACGCAGTTGTATTTGTATTTAGAACATAGTCTCGGGGTTCTTCAATGTACTCGCCAGCCGACAGATTATGTGTAATGTGCATACGATGATACAGATTATGTGTAATGTGCATACGATAGATTAATATCTGAATTTCTTATCGAGTCGCTCATATAATATAATTTTCTAGTGGGATTCTAGTTCGATGATGCTTTTTGATCGCGACTTGCATTACGGCAGAATTTCGCACGTACATTTATCTGATCAACAATCGAGTAAAGATATACGTATAACAACCAAAAACCCTTTAAAACCCGTTGTTGGAATTCAAATCTAGGTAATAGCTCGACGTCGTACACATTACAATAATTATGTTCACAATACAATAATAATAAGTGGTACTTGGTTTATTGATTGAGATGGGTAGGTCAGTCACCATCGTATATACTATATAATAGGCATACAAGTTTTTGTACAGAACGGATCCAGATCGAAACACTGCTCAGCCCTAAAGCCTTAGTATTGACCTCATCGTCTACGCTGTAGCGACCATATACTCTCTGTCTGTATCGATCGATAAATTGCGGAGCACCAGCGCCAGCGCCGAATGTAATATGGTCTATTAGAGGACAGTGAGGCAAAAAAATAAATACTTCTTGTTAAAGTAACCCCAATGTGAGCCCCTGGCAGTCGACAGTATCTTAGAAACATGCCTGGGTTCAACTCCTCGATTTCAGATTGTGCAGTGCTCGAGCACTGTCGTTTGCTGTTATTCTTATGTTCGATTCCTTATATACAACGGTTTTCGCATGCCGAATCAATGACGTGCCTCACTTCCTCCTTTGTATATGGTTTTGAATGCTCCAAAATTCTAAATGACTCTGTAAAGCTCAAATGAATTGGAGCTGCCGCGTGTCACATTTAGGCATCCAGTTCAGAATTCTCTTCGAACGACATGTCAAAGTTAGCGCCACGGGGTGAGAATTCCTCCTGGTCGATATCATCGAAAGCATGCACGATGACATCCTTCACATCGGCAAGATATTCAACCTCCTCTTCAATCCAGTGTGATATTACATCCGCCACACGGGTAAACATCGTACCAGAAGACTCAGTTGTAGTAGTAAGCGCGGAGATAGAAACCATTTTGAAGTTGTAAATAGCAATGAAGATCGAGTTTGGGATTTGTCGTCTCGAAAACTTTAGCTTTATACTCCTATAGCTCTATACAGTTACGAACACTAAAATAGAACTGATAGCCTGACGCCCCCTCATATATTTGTTTTCTTTTTTGTATTGTATTTTTAGTAAAATCGAAGATCGATAATTTTTTAGATGTCGGCGGAAAGAAAGTCCCACATGGAAAAGTAACTTAGTATCCAATGAGGTTCTCGCAGTGGTTCGAAAAAATTAGCCAATGATATTGAAGCCCTTCTCACATTGGACAAAACTGATCAAATGATACGCTATTTGGCCTAGATTTTCGTTGGCGAAGATCGTCAGAAACAGAACCTAGAATCCGAAAAGCGACCAATTGCGTACTTTACTTTCATTGGGCAATACCCTAATTGTCACTCGCGCGAGTCGCGTCAGTTTGTGTACCTGTCGCGTGGTACGCTGTATACTTTAACTTTACTTTCTATAAAGTTGGGGCCGGTCGTTGGGATTTCGGATTTGTGAGTTGGGTAACTCGGGTTGGAGTTTGGAGTTTTGGACTTGGGCTTGGGTCCTTGGGACCCGATCCCAGTCGGGAGTCGGGAGTCGGGAGTTGGTTCTGTGGAATTGTGGAGGCTGTGGGCCTGTGGCCTGTGGGCATGGCCCCCTGGTAATGGACTAATGGGTATACTCAATGTTGTACTGCAGGTGGGAAAGACGATTTGGGGACACCAAAACATGGAAACAAAGGCCGCCGTTACAAAAAAAAGGGGTCAGCCACTCAGAGACTCAAAGTCTTCAGACTCAGAGTGACAGTGCTGGAATCACTCCCCGGTAATCAGTATGACTCAGTAACTCAGAGTCTCTCAGAATTCAGATAAACAAACAATATATCAATTCTAAAGAAGAGCAATTTTTTATCAAAAGCATTCGCGATTCATAAGATCGAAGATAAGATTCCAAAAACAAAAACAAATCAAAGTAAAAATAGATACGTTTTCATAAAAAAAGGATTGTCTATACAGAATGTCTATACGGCACTAATAACAATAAAACTATTAACCACCTCAGGCCCAGTTTCCTACCAGTCTCATACTTGTACCTTTTTGAGTTTAATTTGCTTAAATATAGGTGTATTAATGTAATTAGCGTGATTTTAAGCACTTGTGAGATGTGTTTGTTATCTGCCGGTTTGTTTGTTAGCTGTCGGGTGAAAGCGCTCGACTTAAATGTTATATATTGTAGCGCGGATATAACCCATTTGTTGCACTTATGTTAGGTCCTTGTCGGTCTTAAGGGCTTGACATATGTTAGCAGTTAGACACATGTATATAGGCGTCCTCTGTCTTAGCTATTGCTTCGGATTCGCCCATGGTTTTACAGTTGACACTATTCGTGTCTAACATACGTCGACCTCTCCTCTGAGGCCGATAAAGAACTAATACAAGAAGTGCAATAAATGTGCTAAAATCACGCTATTTACATCTTAAACGCAAAGTAAACTCGAAAAAGTATAAGTATGAGACTGGTAGGGAACTGGGCCTGAACTGGTTAATAGTTTTATTGTCACCAGTGCCGTATAAAGATATTCATAAAAAGCAAAACCCTTTTTATTTAATAAAAAAACAAGGCAAACTATGAAAACAATAAAAATATAAATAAGGTCATATCATCATATTTATTTACGTATTTGTGTATAATACTGTATTGTATTTATGTAAACAGATTTTTATAAATATTCCGAGTTATCAGTTTCTGCAAACATTGCTTCGAATCGATTCTCTCTGGGGCATTTTTAAATATGTATTGATTTTGATGACAGGCGACTGCAAATATGCACTTTTTTTATAAAAATATAAAAAATAAAATAAAATTGGGTCATCTCATCAACTCATCATATCGGAAACTATGTACAATTGTACATGAGACTTTATGCAAAGTTTACGATTCCCTGGGGCATTCGAATGACAGTTAAATTGTCGCTTTTCATGACAGCAAATAATAACAACAATTTTGACAGCAAATGAATTCAAGATGCAAAACAACAAGCCAACAACATCTCGAGATAAATAGATGTCACCACGCCAATATGCAGCTCTTACGAATCGAGGTCAACAGCGCGCAAATTCAAAACTACGTTATTTATAAATATAAAACTTATAGAATGCACACTGGCAACTTCAAGATCCCTTAAAAACTAACAACAATAATAATAATGGCAACACTCGATTAGGAGTTTCGCGCAAATGCCTTAAAAGTCTGCCAATCAATAGTTGGTTACGACGATGCATATTAGCTGTAGACTAAAAAAGAAATACGACTAATACAATTATGATTCGTAGTGTATAACTGTATATATTTCAACCTTTTCTCGAAACATCCCTCAGGAATTAGTAGATGGGAATCTACGTTCATTTTTTAGAATCACACAGTCATAGCCTTCTTAAAATTGAACAAGAAGGTATAATGACAGTGTTTAAAAAAAAAAGGCGGACAGCGACAATTATACACGCGAACGAATTTCGCGAATTTCAACAGAAACAGGACTATAAACCTTCAAATGTAGGGAAAACACTATATAAATTGGTAGAAAAAAAATAGACATTAATGCACATTTTTATTGGTACAAGACGCTGATGAAATGTACCACGTATGTGATCAGTTGCTGTTTACTGAAATTACCGGGCTAGATCACCCAATAATATTTTGAATGGAAGTCTCAGTCGGAATCAACGGTATAGTTGTCCGCGTACATAGCTGGTCTACAGAATATCAACGCAGGTTTTACATTTAGTAGAGTATGCACCAGACAACCACGTAAATAGTTCATTTTCAACACTAAAAGGTACTGGCAAGCTACTTGATTTGATTTTGAAGTGGCATAATTCCAAACAGACAAGCTGTACGGCGACTTCCGCTTCCGGATTGTCTTCATTGCTTAGCAGCGTAGTGGTGATATGGAAATAATTTGAATTTAATTCTTATTGAAAAACTGAAATTTCCTAGTTAGCATATCGCCAGATTGGTGCCTTGTAATGTATGTCGACTACGTGCACACAGTATGTAAATGTCACCGTACTTCAACACTTGACTAGTCGCGGATAGGTACTATACAACACGCACATAGTATGAACTATGAGGTGATGTGACTCATGATAGGGGTTGTCCTTCACAAATCAAATATTTCAAAAGTGTACTAAATTCGATAGTTTCAACAGGAAGCGGAACGGGTAGTACCTAAAATTAAACAGTGAACACAAATAGACATTTGTGTTGAGCGAGATCACATCGCTTATTCTTTGTTTGTGTTTTCACTGTTTTGCTAGTTGTCACTCTATAATTTTATGAGAGGATTCACGGCATGGCGGTGCCGTGGCATTGTTGATTCGATGTAAATTTTAGAGGAATCAGATAAAAGATAAATAAGTGGAGAGTTGGTGACTCGATCCAGAGTCCAGAGTCCAGAGTACCAGAGGTACATGATAAATATGTATTAATGTATCATTTGGTTTTTAGTTTTTAATAAAATTTCGGGCCGCCCTCGGCCCTCGGGCGCCTAAGTGAGTTGTGTGACTCTGTGAGGACTTCAGACTAGAGAGAGAGAGAGATAGTCACTCTCTGGTTGAGACTTGACTGGAGACTGGAGAGTGGACTCGCGTGGAGGCTGAGACTTTTATGACTCCGTCTTTTGTAAAAGTTTGTATTTATTTTAAAAACATTTGTACAAAAAATAGAAAAGGAACAGGAATAAAAAAAAATGATTGTGATACCAGAATGACAATCAGATGCCTTTTTTCGAGTTCTATGACTCCGGCACTACGTGCAAAAGTGGAAATTTGGCCTGAGGCCCTGAGGCCTGAGTCCTGTGGGCTTTGGCCTGTGGGCTGTGGGCCTGTGGCTGTGAGTCAGTCTCTGAGACCTTGAGTGAGCCCCGAGTCCTAATAACCCTGAGGCCTGAGCGGGCCTCTGAGGCCTTGGCCTGAGCTGCTGAGCACTGACTGAGGACTGAGGGCTGAGGGCTGAAGCCTGGGCGGCTGGAAAGCCCATAAACTATTCCCACGCACCTCATCCATGTCCAATGGGATTATCGTTTCTCAATTTCCCCATCCACATAATTTTCTTTTTATTCTTCTATCTGAGTTTTCCGGTCTTTGGCGTTTGCTTCTCTATTTATTCGCCAGACAACCAGAGGACAGTGTAAGTGGGCACACCGGGACAATTGTGTCTGTTCCCCCTACAGTGACAAATGTAGTACCGAACACAAGGGTATATACAGCGAACGTATTTTGGAACAAATTGTACCAAAATAAAGTCCGCTTGGAAAACGGATACTTCATAGTATAAGTTTCACCATGACCCTCTAGAAAGAGAAGAAGACTTAAAATTAACAAAATACAGGGGATCGAACTAACGTCCGAATGACAGGCCGCTGACTCTTTTGCTTGGTACATTTGGGTATATGCCCATACCGCTTAAAATTTGCTTGGCAAGTTTTCCGCAATTCTAAAAATAAATTTTCCATTAGAAATATATATTTCTAAAATAAATGGTCGCTACTGGCTCAATTTCGCAAATTCGTACACACACACATCAATGTTCAAACACACATTATTTAACGTATCTAACGTAGTATGGGGTGTGTTTGCACGTAGTGTTCCGTCGCTAGTTACCTTTCTGTGATAGTTAGTTGCGTCGTGGATGGATGCCAGTCCGGTACCGCTAGAGATCATACTCACACCTATCAATTTCCACATCCAGATGAGTCGGAAGGCTCACTGTTTTACCAGTGAAATCATGCTTATCCAGTGCTTTGGCCCAAATTACTATTTTATAACAGTATCTGCCAAAGGTAACGTCAAATGTGTACCTAGATATTAATGTAGCAAACATTTCCCAGACGAAGACTTCTATCCCCTGACGGATAAAGACTTTCAAAAACATGCGAACCGTAAAAGAGGGATGAATCCATATCCGAAAAGGCAATTGAAAGAAAAAGGTGTACCATCGCTTCTGTTCCCCAGTTCGACACATGACTGACGCACATGCTACTAGTAGAAGTACATTCACTAGATTGAGTATGAAATACAGCACTGATGTGGATACAGCTACCGAGGAAGAAATGGTAGCATGGAGTCAAAAACACTACGATGAACGAATCGCCAAATTTAAATATATACCAAATAGACAGGTTCGCACATACCTAGCATTCTGTTATGTGTATAAATATAAGAATTTCCGTAATTGTTGGCGTTTGGCATACAAGAAGGAATTGCACTATCCGGCTATGTTAGATGTTGACAGCTGGAATCGCCAAATTTAAAGACATCGAAAAACTATACGACATACAAGAAAAGAATGTACCATACAAAACATGCAGAGTGTCATAAAAAACAGCATATCCGTTTTCATTCGACAAACAGAAATCTCTGCCAGTAGTACAAGTAAGTGTACCATTGTGTATGATTAACTTCTTATACATAATTTTGATTTTAAGAAATATATTACTACATTTATATATTGATCGATTTCACACCTTCATTTAATTCGTAGACATTCTCCAAAGAGCTACAAGCGGCCCTAGCCATAGATAGAGGAGACGGAGCATCTGTTACAATTGGTATACATTGCGAGTGTCCGGTGAAGAACGTATTCCGAAACGTATACTACGATATATCGCCTACAGCCGGTACTCAATAATCTTAATTGTGCGTTTAGAGAGCTTTTCTGGAAGCCTCTAAATATTAAAAGCACAACAAAAGGCAAGAGAAAAAGGGACCCAATGAGCTATCCATACACTAAAGAAGACAGTCGAAGATGTATACAAAGACTTACCGTGTTAACTAACATTTTTCCTATCTGGCTGCGTTCATGGCGGACTGAGACAAGGGCGAGAGTTGTTGCAGATGCAGGAAAGTCGAAAAGAAAGACTCTTAAGCGAACACCACGGCCTAACAGAAGACATATTTATGACAGCTATCCACACATGCGAAGCACTTGGCGAAATGATTCGGTATCAACTGTTTGATCTTAATTTCGACTATGCAATTCCCAAAGAGGCTTGTAACGACCGCATCGAACTCCACTTCGGCGCAGCCCGAAGTGGCAATGGGTATGATATGATGAAGTAGCAATGAATATGATGCTTTGCTATGTATTGTAAGTTCTTTACAATAATTAATTATACAACAATACTTTTACAAATTACTAAACAAAACAAACTCACATATTACTGACAAATACTATTGCGCTATGATACTGGTTGTAATATTGTAGGGACGAGCCGGATGTTGACGTTACAGCCTTTGAAGAACACGAAAGAAAGCGAGTCGTGCACAAGGTTTACCAAGCTGCATCAACAAGAGATGGGAGTTGTGACCGAACACAGGTTAGAGACGTATTTGACCTTTCTCATAGAGAAGACCATCAAACTACAACAGAACACGTATTAGCACTCACAAATGCAATATCACCTATGATTCCGGACTATACACAGATGCACTTTCTGTTATTGAGACGTTCTATCTGTCTGCAAAAGGTGTGTACGTGACAAACTTTTCGAGGATATATACAATGCAAAGGTAAGTGTGAGCACTCTTCAAGCAATTGTCAATGCACGTGTACGTACACATAACACATGCGCTTCACTATTAACAGAGTGCACTGAGTGTGGACGTAATCGAGAAATGACGTTTTACAAACCAATACTTGCTACGATTATTAACATAGCTGCGAACAATATGGTGGTGATGTTAAATACACAGTATAAAAACAAGACTTCAATGAAGAGATCAAAGATGAAAACCGCCCGAGAAAAGAACATACAGAACTTACAAGTGGCGGTTACTGGAGGGCCGGACGAGACTTTTGAACAATGGCGCAATGTGTCAACTATGAATTATGAAGAACTTGTAATCGAGCTGAAACGCTACAATTTGAAGTTCTCTGGTCCGTGAGCTAATGCTGCCAATATGCGCGATAAGATTGTCTTAGCTAGGAGCTTGAGTGAGTATGCTTGGGTGATGGACGGTTCATCCCTACTTGTAAACGCTGAGTTAGATCGCCGAGGTGTGAATTATGACAAGAACTCGAGAGTACAAGTGCGCCGAAACTTACTGCTTGCACTTTTAAAGGCAACAAACGATAGAGAAAGCAATTCTGAGGGTCAAGGAAGCGGTTCCGCAGCAGGTCAAGGAATCACAGCAACACTCGTCCCCGTACCAGGCCAAACAAGTGCGCTGTACGTGTTTCAAGTCGCTTAGCTGCTTTGTGTGTACGTGTTTGTATATGTTTTATAGTAGTATTTGATAATAAATTTCGCAGCCAATCAATAATTAAGCGGTATTTTGTGTTCTAAAAATAGTAAAAAATTTCGAGTCAGGCGGCCTGCCATCAAGAGGGCCAAGGTTTCACTGAACAAATATATCAAGTATAAACCTCAAATTCCCTAGTGGCCTAAAACCCTAAACCCTAAAACGAGAGATGTTGATGAGATGTCACTCCTGAGATTTTCTCAGGTTTTTGTTGTTGAGATTGTGGTCGACTCACCTGGCAGCAACGCACGGATAGTCTCCACACAGTTCGAATACGAAAACGGGTTTGACTCACTCATGCACTCCCCTGCGTGTTATATACTACACAGTCAACTGACTCTATCGGAGATTTTGTCAGCTGACTGGGTCTGCCCCGATACAAACACCAATGTTCTACTCATACCCCTGGTAGTTTCTACCCAACAAGTTTCACACAGCATAGGCCGAACCCAGTCAGATCCAGCCTACCAACATACAAACTAGGAAGGTTTGTGAAGGCGGTGACTGCGAATTTGGTGACAGAAGTTGGTAGCCACTACGAAGGGGAGAGTTGATCAGCGTTTCTCAATGCACAGAATGGCAATCTTTTACACGCTAATAAGCTCTGGTCGATGGCAATGCTGCTAGTAAAAAAGAATTCAAGCGCAAATACAACCTAGAGCAGATATAAATTTTGATACCGCACTACTGCCCAGGATTACAAATTGCAAAGATTAGAAAGTATAGATCCGCCATTGTGTCGGGTGATTTCTTTATGAAACCTAGGGATAGCATCGATTGAGTCTGGCCTGTGCAGGGAGTTAGCCTTGTCTCACTTAGCAGCGTAATCCTTAGCAGCTGGACGCCTGTGCAGGGAGTTAGCCTTGTCTCACTTAGCAGCGTAATCCCTAGCAGCTGGACTATTCTAAGCAAGAAATGCTAACGAACATGTCGACGAGGTTGCACGCACGCTTTAGAGTACAAGATTGGCAGAAGTAAACGAACTACTGCAACAACACCACTGCGCCACTACTACTTAAGAGTTTGAAGGCTGCTAAGGATGCCATAGGAAAGTAAGTAGCTAAGAGCGGAATATCTCTGATCGTAACTCGTAGGTCTTCCCTATCACTCTTCACCATTCTATCGACCATAAGTGAGAAATCTGCGCTGAATTGTGGCGAGAGGTGCACACCCATGTTCTGCGGTAGGTGTATAGACTCACACCCTCCCAATTCCTGCCCCGACTGCATACTCGAAGCTATACAAACTAACTTGTCATCAATAACGTTGTTATAGGGTAGTCGTACGGCGAGCTGTCCGCGGATGTGATTGACGGTGAAGTGTTGAATGTCCCTTTGCAGACGAAAGATGTGGAAGCAAAATGATTTCTCGAAGGGGTTTTCAGAGACTCGCTCGGTGGTTATGGTCTCTCCACTCGCACTACATGGGAGGCGGCAGGGTTCATTGCAAAACACACAATATGCCGGCAATATAGTTAAGAGCTTTCACGCGATTATTTGTCTGTACGTGTATCTGATATAGCAATTCTATGCAATGCTGATGAAACTACACGAAGCACCCTCCAACTTTATGTAAAACCGGTTGCACACAACATCAGACGCACGTATGCCCCATCCTACGCTGCGTCTTGTAGCGAGCGGTCTGATGCGAATGCACTATACGCTCGCACAGTTTATAACTCTCCAAATTAGCAAACCATTCACATCATATGTCGAACTTAACACAGAATATCAGTATAGATGCTACCCCAATAAACTTCGCACAAAACCCTCAGTTACTAGTTCGGTGAGATAGTACTTCTTTTTATTATTAGGGTTAAGGATTGGCGTCCGGGCGCGGTCTGTCATTCACCAGCGCATGCCAGAAGTGACTCTCTGACTGTTGCGCAGTGTTTGGCCCTAAATTGTGGAGTCAGTTATATGGACACGATTGAGCACGGGTTTAATCATGACGTGGACTGCAAATGCACATACGATTGCAGCTGTATAAATGGGGTTTCGGTTTAAGCCAAATGAGATTCATCACATGCATGACGCGTTGGGTTCAGTAATGCATCGTAAGTGCAAGGAGGTAACACAAGCTGACGAGTACAAGCTCACAATTGCATGGACAGCCACAAACAAACATCGTATCTGGGAGAGATGTGCCTCCGCGAGTGCATGCCGAATCCACAATGAATCGCAATAGTATAAGAATGTAGGTATGTATACACACAGCCAGATCAGGAATAGTACACACACAGGCAGCATTATTCCTGGGACTGCTGAGAAGTGCTGAAACAGCTGATAACACACAAACATTAACGAGACCACAATCGAATGGGTTACGTACTGCTGGGACTGCTGAGAAGTGCTGAACAGCTGTCAGCACACAAACATTAACGGGGCCACAATCGAATAGACTACGTACTGCTGGGACTGCTGAGAAGTACTGAAACAGCTGATAACACAAACATTAATGAGACCACAATCAAATGGACTACGTACTGCTGAGAAGTGCTGAAACAGCTGATAACACACACATTTGACCACAATCGAATGGACTACGTACTGCTGGGACTGCTGAAAAGCTTATAACACACAAACATTGACGAGACCACAATCGAATGGACTACGTACTGCTGAGAAGTACTGAAACAGCTGATAACACACACTCATTAACGAGACCACAATCGAATGGACTACATACTGCTGGGACTGCTGAGAAGTACTGAAACAGCTGATAACACAAACATTAATGAGACCACAATCAAATGGACTACGTACTGCTGAGAAGTACTGAAACAGCTGATAACACACACACTTGACCACAATCGAATGGAAAGCTTATAACACACAAACATTGACGAGACCACAATCGAATGGACTACGTACTGCTGGGACTGCTGAAACAGCTGATAACACACACTCATTAACGAGACCACAATCGAATGGACTACGTACTGCTGGGACTGCTGAGAAGTACTGAAACAGCTGATAACACAAACATTAATGAGACCACAATCGAATGGACTACGTACTGCTGAGAAGTGCTGAAACAGCTGATAACACACACACTTTAAAGAGACCACAATCGAATGGACTACGTACTGCTGAAACAGGCTGATAACAAAACATTAACGAGACCACAATCGAATAGACTACGTACTGCTGGGACTGCTGAAACAGCTGATAACACACACTCATTAACGAGACCACAATCGAATGGACTACGTACTGCTGGGACTGCTGAGAAGTGCTGAAACAGGTCTACTCACACGGCGGAACACAGACTGCTTGCGCGCTGAGGGCGACATGCTTGAAGCCCTCCTGTGGTCATGAACAATAACATGTAATCAGAGTAAGATAGTAACGGAATATCAAGCACTTAATATTAGATCATGGTAAGATAGAGATAAGGTATCATACAGTTAACAAGTATTAGTTACTAATATACCAAACACGTATAATCTACAAAAAAGCGCTCGAGAGTACAAATAGAATAATGCGAGTGAAAGCGAATCTGTCATCGTATCAAACCGTCTTAAGAATAGATGTGAATGTATGTGTATGCGAAGGCTCCCAATAGCTATGATACTACTGATATTAAAACTATCAAGCGTATAGTTTGTCGCAGTTGCAATGGATATGCACTGAGAAAGCGTCTGTAAACAGCTCCAAAAGTGCCGTTAAATTGAGTGCAGACATACATAGATGTTAGTGAGTGCACAAATACATAGATGTTAGTGAGTGCACACATACATAGATGATAGTGAGTGCACAAAGACATAGATGTTAGCGAGTGCACACATACATAGATGATAGTGAGTGCACACATACATAGAGGTTAGTGAGTGGTCTGAGACACCACAGAGTGTTTTGCAACGCACTTGTATCGCCAGCGCATACCTTTGGCCGGGCGTAGAGTTGGGGACTGGGCTGGCATCTGCATTGAGAAGGTTATCGCTCACCTCCAGGATATCTGCAGCGCATGAGGAGGGCCAAACATAAAAAATAAATATCCTCTTGAACTTTGCCTTGAGGTCTGACTGAGTGTGTTCATATAGACGTAACTCGTTAATGCTGTGCTTTCGAAGGATTGTATATCTCAGGCCTGAACCCCCCACACCCTTGACTTCAATACAAGTGGTTTCCTATTTATGTAGGCTTTCAGTCTATCCATCGGTGCGTGTGTGTGTGTGTGCCGTATGACAAGTGCTTGTTGTGTGTGTGTGTGTCGTGTCACACGTGATTGATGTGTGCGTGTCGTGTAACGCGTGCTTGTTGTGTATGAGTGCGCCGTGTCACACGTGCTTAATGTGTGTGAGTGTCGTGTAACGCGTGCTTGTTGTGTGTGAGTGTGTCGTGTCACACGTGCTTGATGTGAGTGTGCGTGGTGTAACGCGTGCTTGTTGTATGTGAGTGTGCCGTGTCACACGTGCTTCATGTGTGTATGTGTCGTGTAAAGTGTGCTTGTTGTGTGTGAGTTTGTCGTGTCACACGTGCTTGATGTGTGTGTGTGTGTCGTGTAACGCGTGCTTGATGTGTGTGAGTGTGTTGTGTCACATGTGCTTGATGTGAGTGTGTGTCGTGTAACGCGTGCTTGTTGTTTGTGAGTGTGCCGTGTCACACGTGCTTCATGTGTGTATGTGTCGTGTAAAGTGTGCTTGTTGTGTGTGAATTTGTCGTGTCACACGTGCTTGATGTGTGTGTGTGTGTCGTGTAACGCGTGCTTGATGTGTGTGAGTGTGTTGTGTCACATGTGCTTGATGTGAGTGTGTGTCGTGTAACGCGTGCTTGTTGTGTGTGAGTGTGTCGTGTAAAGTGTGCTTGTTGTGTGAGAGTTTGTCGTGTCACACGTGCTTGATGTGTGTGTGTGTATGTGCCGTGTAACGCGTGCTTGTTGTGTATGACTGTGCCGTGTCACACGTGCCTGATGTGTGTGTGTGTGTCGTGTCACACGTGCTTGTTGTGTGTGTATGTGTCGTGTAAAGTGTGCTTGTTGTGTGAGTGTTTGTTCCGTGTCACACGTCTTGTGTCTGTGTGTGTGTAGTGTAACGCGTGCTTGTTGTGGGTGAGTGTGTCGTGTATCGCGTGCTTGATGTGTGTGTGTCGTGTGCTTGTTGTGGGTGAATGTGTCGTGTAACGCGTGCTTGATGTGTGTGTGTGTCGTGTGCTTGTTGTGGGTGAATGTGTCGTGTAACGCGTGCTTGTTGTGTGTGTGTGTGTCGTGTAACGTGTGTTTGTTGTATGTGTGTGTGTCGTGTAACGCGTGCTTGTTGTGTGTGAGTGTGCCGTGTCACACGTGCTTGATGTGTGTGTGTTTCGTGTAACGTGTGCTTGTTGTGTGTGAGTTTGTCGTGTCACACGTGCTTGATGTGTGTGTGTGTCATGTAACGTGTGCTTGTTGTGTGTGTTTGTGTCGTGTCACACGTGCTTGATGTGTGCGTGTGTCGTGAAACGCGTGCTTGTTGTGTGTGTGTATGTATGTGCTTGATGTGTGTGTGTGCCGTGTCACAAGTGCGTGTCCCCCACCTACCCTTGAATTCCGTATCCAGTGTCTTGTTAAGGTCCTTGTACGCTGCTGGATCTGTGTTGGCGTACCACACCAGCCTCTCCTGATTCAACAGCACATACAAACAGAAATCTCTGGCCAACGGCAGCCGTTGGCGAAGAATGACTATGCTGCCGTCAAACGATTGGCTGGCTCCTCTGAAGTGAAGTGTGCGTTTGGGAGGCCGTGTGTGAGCACATACTGCCACGTGGCATAATATTTCACATATACGCATATGTAAGCGTACCTTCTATACGCATATGTAAGCGTACCTTCTATACGCATATGTAAGCGTACCTTATATACGCATATATAAGCGTACCTTATATACGCATATGTAAGCGTACCTTATATACGCATATGTAAGTGTACCTTCTATACGCATATGCAAGCGTACATCCTTTTGAGTCGGTGAAGCTTATGGTTGAAGTTGCGTGTGCCCGGGAGAGAATTTATTCAAATGATACCCACACACACACATACCACAACTTTAAAATTCCCATACACACACACATACCATAGCTTTATAATACCCATACACACACACATACCACAGTTTTACAATTCCTATACACACACACACACACATATCACAACATTATAATACCCATACACACACACATATATATCACAACATTATAATACCCATACACACACACATACCATAACTTTACAATTCCCATACCCACACACATGCCGTAATTGTTGCACAGTACGACAAACACATGCAGCTGTAGGGGTGAGCCGATCAAATCACACCTAACCATTGACACGACATGTGAATACACACATTTAAAAACAAGTGACGACAACTACTCACTATAGACGATCTACTGGATGAGCACCATGACACGCGCACTTATGGTTGCTATTGACAATCAATTTCAAGCAAAGCTCGTGTTTAGTAGCAACTAAAACAGTGATCCATATACGTTTGCCACATAAATATTCATATATATATATATATATATATA